GCTAAACAACGATTGTCAAAGAATGACCGTTCAACAAAAATTGTTTATTTGCTACTTTGAAAGATTTGCGATGATTTTTGCTAATGAGTACGCAAGTTAATGTAAGGCAACACCATTTATACAGTTCACGGCCTGACTACTTTAAGTGTGGTGCAAAAATGCTTCGTCACATCGACAAGCCTGGTGGTTCCAGCCCTCATCCAAATATGCAAATGCGCGTCCAGTTCATTTGCAGACTTGGATTTTCTGAGGAGCGACCGCTCCAGCAACACTTCCGCTTTTTAGTGGACTGGAAATTGCATTTTTTATTTTTTCAAAAAGCGAGCATTCACCGAAAAAAAAAGACCAGGATTCATGGGAAAAACTGTTAGTCATGTACCTGGAGTTCCATGCGGCTCTATAATGCACCATCTTCTTCCCAACTGACGCTCTTTTTCCTGCATGCCGAAAGGGGCCAAAGAACGACCAATATGGGCCAAAGTGTTAGGTTGCAGCGCAGGACTCATTTCTGCTATTAGCAACTTGCGAGTTTAGTGCAAAAGTGCATGATCGCATCGGCAAGCCTGGTGCCTCCCAGCTTGGGTTCTTCATGCAAATTTTCGGTAATGAGTGCACAAGTTAAATGAAAGCAACGCATGACTGTGCTGTGCAAAGCAATTCCAAAAAATATCAAAATTTTTACGTATTATCTGCTATCTGTGATTCTCAAAAACGAATTAAGTAACAGAGGATGCATAAAAATACGCCGGAGAAACAGACAATTTGTTTTAAGTGCTTTGTTTAGCTGGGCATCATTACAAGTACGGTGTACAATGGGATGCATAGGCTTCACAGTCCTTGCATCTTTGCTCTGTCTCTCATTGTTTTATTATTAATATTAATGCACTTATTTTTACACTGAATTCTCAACACGTGTTAATGTCGCTTCAAAACCAGTTGCTTCTACAAGATGAAACCTTGAGCTGATAATTTCCTCATAGACAAAACGAATGCCAGGATCGCCAACAAGCTGGTCACTGGGTGATACAGAATTGGCTAAAGCAACTAAAGGACTACCAACTGCATATGTGAGGTAACTAGACTGTTGATAATGACACTGTTCCAAGACTTC